TTATATACATAATACATAACACATTACTGTGATGTATTTTTGTTCTATTATTCATGAAGGTTACAGTTGTATTAAAATCCATGCTGCCAAGCTTTTATTCTTTTCTGTTTGACACCTTTACATGTTTATAAGATGTTATTTCTGTTCCTCATCTAGATGCCCCACCAGATGTGAAACAAGCAGCAGAGAGATATGAGTCTCCCCCCAGGACACCCACAGGAAACGCCCCCTCATCCGAATCAGACATCGACATATCCAGCCCCAATGCATCCCACGATGAGAGCGTGACTAAAGACCAGAAAGACTCTGGCAGCGATCCCTCCCATCGTCCAAAACGCCGCCGCTTTCACGAGAGCTACAACTTCAATATGAAGTGCCCCACACCTGGGTGCAATTCTTTAGGTAATTGCTCTTCAGATTAATTTCCTCTTGCATCTGCTTAATAATAAAATCCAGTGCTAATGGTTTACAAGAGCTTAATTGGAAAAAAATAATGTTCACAGTTTAAAACATTTTAAATTTGAATGGATTGTTTATAGTCTGGTTTAAAGCTAAAATCTGTTTACCTTCCTGTATTTCTTTTTTTTATACAGGACATTTAACAGGGAAACATGAGAGACATTTCTCCATATCAGGATGCCCTCTCTACCATAACCTCTCAGCAGATGAGTGCAAGGTGCTTTAAGCCCAAAGTATACTTTGCTTGTCTGCTTTATTTGCTATTATTTTGATTTTGTATATTTCTTGCATGGAATGAGCTTAAAAACATAATTTTGTCAACCACTAAATTGCAGTGATTATTTAGCATAGGCATGTGTGGTTTATTCTTTTCCGTATTGTTTAGCACTTTCTCTGGTGTTTATCTTTGTGTGCTTGTCTTCCTGATCAGGTGAAAGCCATCGAGCGTGAGAAACAAGAGGAAGAGCGCAGTCAGGGGCAGAATGAGGAGAACAGACACGCTACTCGACATCAGGTGCTCGCCAAGCAGATGTTTGCTCAACACTAAACAAACATCACATAAGTGTGTTAATGCCTCTTAAATGCATGCATGCTTTTGTACTAAAAAGACACTTGCGTGAAGGCCTAACGTCAGCAGCATGGTGCCTTCTAATTTTAAGATGGGTTGTGATTGTTTGCAAGCCATAAATTCTGTGGTATCCACAGTGAGGTTATGACTGATGAGTTAACCATGAAGAGCTTTATCTGGATGAGACACAATGTATCTTTTAGTAAAGTGGGATGTAATATTAATTTGTGTTGCTCTTCCACAGGCACCAACTCCAAGACAAGTTCGATATAAAGAGAAGGTAATGGAGATGAGGAAGAGGAGGGATTCTGGACTGACAAAAGACCAAAAAGAGAAGTACATGGTAATCCTTACAGTGATATATTAAAATGTTTATTAATGCAGGGATGCAAACTTGTCACCTTTCGGCAAAATTCGCCATTTTGATTCATGTAGATCTGGTGAGTTTTTAAATTGTTTCGGGGGGTGGGGAGAGGGGAGTCTTTTTACAGTGCCAGTAGTACCAACTCAATTCTGTACACGCTTGCAGGCAACCACTTTCAAATGCTCCTGTGTGTTTTTGTGTGTGCGCTTTGGTTTCGAGTTACAAAACCAAAATATTCTATTTATAATGTGTTTTTGCAGTGTTGCAGAGTATTATAGCTAATCACAGGCATCACTGTTGAAAGCAATGGCCAGTCAGAGGTGTTTGCTGTAGGTTAGTCAGAATCCACTCTGTCTGAACTAAGTTTTCACAGGTTTGCAGCGTTCTACACGCTCGTAGATCTTCCCATTATATCGAGGAAAAAAACGCATACAGGGTAGTCATTGATTATATCAAGAGTTTAAGTTTTAAAGATAAAGCTTAAATCTAGGGAGTGGAAATGGCAACTGAGCTAATGTGTGATCCTCTGCTGCCATCTACTGGTTATAATGGTAACTTATATAATTGTAATGTCATTTTGATCTTAAAAGTCTTTGTTTTCCACCAGGAGACACATTTCTTCATGTCATCTTCATGAATGAAAAATGAATCTTTAAATTCTGTGCTCGCCTATAGAGTTAAAAATAATAAAGGCTTACAAAAAGTGTTTAAAAATACTTGGCGAGTTAGCATCCCTGATTAATGCGTTTTCATATAAGCTATATGGTCCTGATGTATTTTTGTTAGCCAACCCAATTTAGCTCTTGTTAAAAATAATTATCTGGCTTTTAATTAATGTATACAGTGCCATTATATTTTATGTGTCGGGTGGTATTAATGATGTTTGTATTTGTGATCGATCTACATCTGTTCTTTTTTGATGTATCAGGAGCACAGACAGACACACGGAACCACGCGTGAACCACTGCTGGAGAACATCACCAGTGATTATGATCTGGAGCTCTTCAGGAAAGCTCAGGCCCGCGCAGCGGAGGATCTGGTATGAACAGACATGCCTCTCAGTTTACACACTTCTGACATAGCAGTGCATCACTCAACTAAAATCTCAGGACTAAAATCTCACCCTTTATCTTCAAATTGAAAATAAAGAAAATAGTCATTTGAGATGTCATAATTTAAGTTTTTAAATGATGGACATTACAGCGTGGTTATGTAATATATTATCTTTTTTTTTTTAATTCAATAAAAGTAACCATATGATGGTATTCTGTTACTGTGATTAAATTACTTTACTAGATTTTGGTTTTACCGCCCAATCCTAGTTCTTGTTATTTTAGCTAAATTAGCTTTATTTAGATATTTGATGTCTAAGGTTTTTGTTGTTTGTAGGAGAAACTGCGTCTGCAGGGTCAGATCACAGAGGGCAGTAACATGATCAAGACCATCCTGTTTGGCCGTTATGAGCTAGACACTTGGTACCATTCTCCCTACCCTGAGGAATACGCCCGTCTGGGGCGTCTGTACATCTGTGAGTTCTGCCTCAAGTATATGAAGAGTCAGACCATCCTGCGCAGACACATGGTATGAAATCAAACTTTCCTAAATAATCTCTGTTATGGTTGCATGTCTAAACATTTAGTCAAATGGTAGTACTGGCTGAATCTATATGGAGGTTAAATTATTTGACATGTTGTCATATGTGATCTATGCAGGCCAAATGTGTGTGGAAACACCCTCCTGGTGATGAAGTCTACAGAAAAGGTGCCATTTCTGTGTTTGAGGTTGATGGGAAAAAGAACAAGGTGGGCAATGGATGTTAATGTAATGCATTGGTTGTGGCTGTTTGAATGTAAAGAGTTCTGGATGTGTTTGTTGATTTGTGGCATTGACTATTTCCGCTCTTATATGAACTTCTAGGCTCTTGATGAGTTTGTTTGATAAACATGAATTTTATTCATCCCCACCCCAACAGATCTATTGCCAGAATCTTTGTTTGCTGGCCAAGCTGTTTCTGGACCATAAAACACTGTACTATGACGTGGAACCTTTCCTGTTTTATGTCATGACTGAAGCTGATAACACAGGCTGTCACCTCGTGGGATATTTCTCAAAGGTAATGGGGTGCTTGAGGCTACATGTTGTGAATTATGATCTGGTCTGAAATGCACAAAAATATAAGCACTTTGTCAACACATTTGCTTTTCAGGCCAGCTTCCCTCTAGCCAATGTTTTTGGCTGATTTTCAGTCATAAGCTTTGTTTATGTAGTATGTGAGCCAGGACAAATAATCTTCTCCAATATTGGCCCACTGGTTATTTATCCTGAAAATGTTTATCCTGGTTTCCATTATCTTGCATTAGTAACAAAATTCCATGAGCTTTCATGCTTGGGGTCGGGCTGAGCGATTTTTCAGATTTTTATTAATTCGGATGTAATGTTTTACCTTGTTTTTATTATATTTTATTCAAGGAATCATGGCTTTTAATAAAAATAATAGCAAACAGTATAGTTAGACACATTGACAATACATTAATGGTGACATTTAAGAGAAATAAATTATCCGACTGCATGACTGTGCACCTGATTAACTACTCGCATGTGACGCGCACTATGATGGACCATACTAGTCCATACTAGTCACTAGTCCTAATCGGCTATTCACACAAAATGCGTTTTTGTGTTTTAAGAAAATGAGAAATGAAAGGTTATGAGACTCGAACAACTTTTAACTTTGCCGTGTCATACGTGATACACTGTCAACATGTCCGTCAAGCACGTTTACATAGAAAAAAATATTGTTTGCATGCTGCTAAAGTCTGTCTCAGTAAAGTGGGGGATGAACTTATTCTTTCCACAGCAACCTTGAAGGGACAACAAACACACAAACTCACAGGGTGAAGTTAGTCCATAAACTCCATTGTAATTCAGTTTATTTCAGTGGCTTGTTTCACGCAGTATGTTGTTTTGATGAGCATCACATGAAATGTTTTAGACTGTGGCCCCTCTTTCATTCTTAATTTGTTAATTTTACAGAGCTCAACAAAAACTGTTGGTAGCTGTAACAGCTTTGACTAAACTAAGTTGAATGCTGCTTTAAACTAGGCTAATTCAGTTTATTTCAGTGGCTTGTTTCACGCAGTGTTGTTTTGATGAGCATCACATGAAATGTTTTAGACTGTGGCCCCTCTTTCATTCTTAATTTGTTCATTTTACAGAGCTCAACAAAAACTGTTGGTAGCTGTAACAGCTTTGACTAAACTAAGTTGAATGCTGCTTTAAACTAGGGAAGCAATGACAATTAATTTAAGACATCTGTTTTGATCTTTGCTGTTTTCTGTTCTGAATATGTGAATAAGGAATCGGCTAGTATGGAGTGCCAGTCTAGACTAAATTATGTGAATTAAAAAAAAATCTGAACCAGGCTTAAGTGTTTTGTGGGGGATTTTAACCAGACTGAAGAGCACTTCAACATATTGAGTACTGAAAGTCTCATGAATCAGCAGAACATGCAAATATAATGCTACTTTTATGAACAATTTTGAGAAATGTTAGCCTATGGTGTCTTTTAAGTCAAGACAGAAGAGTTGTCATGTAATATGCACACTGACTAAACTGATTCTCCTTTTTGTTCAGGAGAAGAACTCATTCCTGAATTACAATGTGTCCTGTATCCTGACTATGCCACAGTACATGAGGCAGGGCTACGGCAAGATGCTCATTGATTTCAGTGAGTACATGTTATCTCTATACGACCCCAACACTGCACATTTTGTGTGTAATCTAAAAGCATGTCAAATTAATTGAAATCATGAAACGGATACATTGTAGCAACAATTGATTAAAAGTTTAACAAATTCATTTAAAAGCCCTATATGAATCTTTGTTTCCCCCAAATTCTTTTTCTGAATTCCATTTGAATGTTTTCATTATATTTTAATAATCAAAAAGCCTGTCTAATCAGTCAAAATAATAAAACTTTAATTTATTATTTAGTAATGAATTTATTGTATTATAAAATTGTTACAAAAATAGGGCCCTATGAAATGTTTAATTTTTTTTTAAAGAATTTTTAAAGAAAATTCTATTCTAAGTGCAGCACACATGAAGTTGTCAACATGATGTAAATGTTAAACAAATCACTTGTTAAATATCTTTGCAGAAAAGATGCATGAACTACAGCTAGGGATGTAACGATTCACTCACCTCACGATTCGATTCACAATTTTGATTTCTCGATTCGATTCACGATTATTTATTTATTTTAACAAAATGAGATTTAAGACAAATTATAAATTAAATGTGTCCTTTTATTATTGCTTGGATAAAATGCTGCACATTTCTTTGTGAAATTGAAATATAACACTATAATCACACTCTCTACGATAAAAAAAAAAAATGAGAAGAGTTCTAAACTAACGCGCTGTCTTCACTGTATCTAACGCACACACGCTCAAGGCTGATTTATACTTGATGCGTTCAAAAGTTCGCTTAGGTGCGCGCGGCAAATATGACATCATCGCGGTGTAGGCGGACGTTCGCTTTGAGTGCGCGCGACGTCGTTTCTCGTGGCGGTGTGCACAACATTTTTTGTAACTTTCCGCGCAGCTCCGCTTCCGAAGATGCACGAGTTCAAAGCGACTCTAGCCGAACATGCACGTCTGTGCCAGCATTTGTGTGAAACAGAAGCAGTTTGATGTTAAGTGCAGTCACTCACACAGATCACGTTGCGGCCGAACTCAGACATTCAGGAACAAACTTTTTAGCGCTGCCCCGCAGTTTTATCAACTAAATAGTGTAATCGCTCTAGAGCTACATTATCTTTCTCAACAAGGAGCTGATAGCATCATTGTTTCTAAAGGAATTAAAGCCACAGCTTTACTGTTAATAGAAAAAC